CACAGAAAATGTTTATGTTAGATCAGCCAAACTATAAAACTCTTGTAACACGTCTCTGAACCCGGCATTTCCAGTGTTTATAGATTGCTTTGCTATCTGAAAGACCCAGTTAGTATTTTAAATTTTAAAGAGTTAAAAAAAAAAAAGTTAATCTTTCTCCCTGCAAGTTACCTACTCACAGCTCAAATCCCACCCCTCGGGGAAAAGCAGCATCGCTGGAATCTAGGCAGGACCTCCACGCTCCAAGTTGCGACCTGCTAAAGTGATCAATGTTATGATTTTTCACAGCTTTGAGAGCCTCTAACTGGCTTTTCCATCTTGGATTATTCCAAAGTCTGCAGCAAAATCATTAGTTTTATGATGCTGGGGTGAGAGGGAGAAGGTAGTGGGTGAAGGGGGTCACCTTAGGGTGGCTAGTTTGTTTAAACTGAGATTCACTGCATGAAACTTTTAGTAGCATTTGCACCGAAATGCTGGCATTTCCCCCCGTCAAAATTTGGGAAGCGTGGAGGCTGGCTAGCTTTACACCACAGTTTCATTGCCTTTCCCAGGCTTTACCCAACCATTCCCCCTTTTTTCTCTCTTTACCTTCCCAGAATTCACCAATCTGTTGGAACACTTCTGCCATGTGTGAAGAGTTTTGGCAGACCAAATCCACATGCCCGAAGTGATGCCCACCAGCAAAGACATAAAAATTTTCAACATTTCAACGGCCATATTGGAGTCATCTGCGGAATAGCGGAAAAGCGCCCAGTTGGAGATTTCATAGAAATAGCAGGCAATCACGCAGGTTGCAGGAACCGTGTACAGGACTGAGAAGACCCCGATCTTGACCATGAGCCTTTCCAACTTGTCGGTCTTTGTCCCATCCTTTTGAAGATTTGACCGAATTTTGAACAAGGCCACCAAGCCTGCAGCGATGAACAAAGTCCCGATCACCAGGTACGTGAACAGGGGAGCCACCACGAAGCCGGTGAGGGCATCAAGGTTTTGGTTCCCAACGTAGCACAGGCCCGTGAGTTCATCTGCATCCACCAGTCTCATAATCAAGATGACAATGGTCTTCACCGCGGGGATGGCCCAGGCTGCAATGTGGAAATAGGAGCTGTGCATTTCAATGGCTTCGTGACCCCATTTGAGTCCAGCTGCCAAAAACCAAGTGAGTGTCAGAATAACCCACCAGATGGAGCTGGCCATTCCAAAAAAGTACATCAGCAAGAAAATGATTGCACATCCTGTGTTCTTAAGTCCTTCTTGGATGAGAACAGGTTCTGCTGCCTCTTCAAAATCGCAGGATATCCTTTCCCGGCCTACAGTCAGCCTGACAATATAAGCAATGCTGTAAATATTATAGCACATACTGAGAAAGATGATGGGGCGCTCAGGGTAGGAAAACCTGGAAGAATCGATCAGGAAGGTCAGCACGGTGAAGGCGGTGGAGATGAAGCACAGGCTGGCCCACACGGCCATCCAGACGTCCGTGAACTCCTTGGCCGAGCGGCTGTATAAGCCAGCATCGTAGCCGCACTTGAGAACGCAGTTCAGGCTCCTTTTCACCCAGATGTACTGATCGGAGTTGGTCCCCACGGAATGGCACTCTTCCCTAGGCTGGTTGGAGTTTTTGTGGGGTAACGGCACCTCCTCGTCCCCTGGCCCTTCCATGCACATGTGGTTGTGGTCGTTCTGGGGTGGGAATTTGCTGCAGTTCAGGCTCTCCGGCCAGGCAAATCCAAACTCCTTCAGGACAGGTTCACAGCGTCTCTTGACAGAAAGACACATGCCGCCGCACGGGCCGATGGGGATGTTGATCTTCTCTGTGCACATTGGCACATACACGGAACAAAGGAAGAACTGGAAAAGTAATGAAACGAGCAAAGAAAACAGTGACTGGGAAGTATGACCAAAGGCTTGCACAAAGCTGAGTTGTGAATGCTTCCAGGCATAGCACACAACTACTTTTAAACCTGCCTATAGGGAGTCTGGCCATTCATGCTGACCTCAGACAAGGATGCCTAGTAATCCCCTACACACTTTTCTTCTTTGGGTTCTAGTAATCCTTTCCAGGGGAACATAAATAAATACATGTATAAAAAGGACCCAAAGAATTATATAATCCCCTTTTGTACTGTGCTTAATAAGTCTTAAAAGACTTAACGTTGAGTTCTCCCTCCCTTTTCAGCTACTATTTGAAAGAGCGGAACAGACTAATCAAATGATAGTCATTTTGGTGATGGGTGATTTGTTTTTTCTTTTAAAAAAAAAAATTTATTGATTTCAGAGAGGAAGAGAGAGGGAGAGATAGAAACATCAATGATGAGAGAGAATCGTTGATCGGCTGTCTCCTGTATGCCCCACACTGGGGATCGAGCCCGAAACCTGGGCATGTGCCCTTGACCGGAATGGAACCCAGGACAACTTCAGTCCACAGGCCGACACTCTATCCACTGAGCCAAACCAGTTAGGGCTGGGTAATTTATTTTTCATCCCCATTTCTTTATCACCATAAAAATAAAGGTTAAAAAAAAAAGCAGACCCACCTCTTCTCCTGGTAATATTCTCTTTTCTGTACTTTATCCCTTAAAATTATTGTTCATATCGAAACAGAAAGTATCCTAATTAAGATACTGTTAGACCCAATGATGGGATGCAGGAGGGGATGCAGGTTGAGGTCTCTGGTCCCCAGGGGTTTGTTTGGCCAGGTTTCCACTTTGAAAAATAATGAAGCACAATAGGAAAATATAAATGTTAAGTCCCTGACACTGCAGTACCAGCAGGGGAGAGTGCAGTTGCTGTCCTCAATTCCTCCAGCATTGATAAACAGCCTGCTTGGCTCCTTACAGATGTTGTCTATGAAGTCTAGAGTTACAAGTTACTTTTTTCCAGCATGTAAAAGGATCCAGTCCTGTTCCTCAAAACCGCTCTGCTGCCGCCCCAGGATACATGCAATTAAAAATATATATCCCTGGAAAAGCCGTTTCTCCAACAAAAAAATTGCCACTGATGTCAGGATATGTGCTGTTTCCAAACCGAGAGCTAGCGGGTCATTTCTTAAGCTTTTATAACCTAGTTCTGAAGGTCTAGAACTTTCCAAGGGGACACTTCACCAGCAACAGGTCTAATCCCAGCCATCTTTCTGAAACCACAATCTAACTTTTAAAATGACCTATATAAAAACATGCACCAGTAAGTAAGCTGCCTGCTTGTCTCTTATCTCTCAGAAGTTATAACCAGAACCACTTATTTCTAAAGCTTTTAGCTAGCCTGGACAACGATCCCCTATTTTCACCAATCTCTCTCCCTTTTCTAAAATTCAAAAGAAAAAAAAAATCACTCATAGTCTCATCAAACAAAACACAAGTGTGAACACTTTTTAAAAAATGTCCTTTCAATCCTTTTTCTTTTCTTATGAATTGGGTGTTGTTTTTGTAAGATTGTAATCACCTTGTATATAGGCAAATTCTTTCTTCACTTACAATTGTAGGATGAACGTTTTCTGTGTCATTACATAAGCTGAAAACATGTGTAATGACTGCAAACAACAATCACAATCTCCCAATATGCAAACTGCCTTCTCCAACATACAAACTACCTTTTTCCCAAGCTGTGTTTTCTCCCCCTCCAAGTACTAAACCTGCCCTCATCAACCCTGAGGGTAAGAATAAACTCAAGCCAATGCAACCATTCCTTTCTGCATGACCTCTACAATCAGGCCGGCCACTCCGCAGAAAAAGGGTGAAGTGGTGTTTCATTGAACAAACCACCCAGAAATATGGGGGAGAAATGAGGTCGGTGAGGGAGAAGTTCCCAGCTCCTTATCTCTCCTTCCAAGTCTTAGCTGCAGCTGGCTGCCCCGCCGGGGACTCGCCCACTGAGCAGCGGCGGCCAGAATCCTTGGCAAAGATAACCCTCAGCTCCACTGGGGTTAGGGGCTTGGCCAGACACGGTGGGCAGGGGAGAGAAACGGAAGGGCGGGGTGTAAGAGTGGGTTCTTTCGCAGGCCAGATGACTTACACAACGTTTTGGCTTCCAGTCCCTGAGAAGGGACAGACAAGTGGGGGTGGGGATGGAAATCACTTTTTCAGGATTATACCCTTCAGCCTAGAAAGCGGGCAGGGGGCCTCGACTTGCTAAGGGTTCCACCGAGTTAGTTTGGGGCGTCCCTGTCCCAAGGGTCTCGCCGGGGATGGGGATGGGGATGGGGGTGGGGGTGGGGGTAGGGGGCGCCCACCTGCAGCTGGCTGGAGCAGCCGTACTGGATGAGCGGCGTGAAAGTTGTCAGCTGCAGCTCGGCGTCCGTCTGCAGCTCGTGCCCCACCAGGTTGGGCATCTTGGTCACGTTGTAGCCCAGGTTCTGGCACATGGAGATGCGGATGGGGTCGCAGCGCCGCTCCTCCTCGTCCCCGAAGCCCCAAGCCGGCCCCAAGAGCAGCAGCACCAGCAGCAGCCGCGGACTGAGACCGACGCCCCCGGGCGCCCCCAGGGCGCTCGGCCCTGCGCCCCGCCAGGCCATGGCCAGAGCCGGGGGCAGCAGCGGCGGCGGCGGGGGCTGCTCCAGCAGACACCCCCAGTTTGCCCGGGGGTCGCGCTGCTCCTAGCTCCGGGGCAGGGAGTGTGATAAGGCGCCAAGGGCGACGAGGGTGCAGCGGTCGGCTCTCCAGCAGCTGCGCGCAACTGTGGGGGATATTAGACTCCCCGGGGCGAGGCCGAGAGACAGGCTGCTAGGGTCATGGCTGCAGGCGGCGAGCCTCGGACCCAGCGCCGGCCGCGTCGCCTCCGGGTCTCCGCGAAGCCCGCCAGCGCCCGGCGCCGCGCCGCTCTCACCGCCCGAGCCCTCCCGGGCGCTAGAAGTTCGCTGGGCGGTGGCGGGGCTGGACGGACAGCGCGCCTCTCCAATGGCCGGGCGCTGTGGGCAGCGGGGGGCGGGGCCACTCTGCCGCTGGAGGGCCAGGCCCCGCCCGACCCCTGCGCTCTCCTCCCCCCCTACTCTCCCCAATCTCCCCGCCCCGCCCCGCTTCCCGGTTCTCACTTTCCTCCCACCCGTTTCGCCGGGTTCGGGGGCGAGGCAGGGATGGAGCCGGGTCGCTCCGGCCGGGACAGCCGGCCCCCTCCCCCAGGTGAGAAGTGCTCCCAGAATGGGTGGGCTCCCGTTCCTTTCCTTTTCCAGCTGTCACCTCGGTCCACGGCCACCTCCCCGTCAGGCAGGGAAACCTATACAAAGAACACGGGATGTGGATTTACGGAGATTGCGGCTTTAAATCCCGGCTGCGTGACCTTGAGCAAATTGCACAACCTCTCGGCGCCGTTCTCCTCGTCCTTAAAGAGACGCGGGAGGATTAGCGATCAGGCGTAAAAACGCTTAGCACGGTGCCTGGTACAGCCCGCGCGCGCAGCTATTTCCACTCCCCACTTGCTCGGGTGGGAGCCCGGCCCCCTCTCCCCGCCCCCAGGCTCGGCCGACCTGCGCCTGGGAGCTCCTGCCTCCCAGCCGCGAGTGGGGGAGGCGCCCCGGAGCCGCCGAGCGGCCGAGGGTCTCGCGCTCCGATTTCCTCGCCGCATGAAATGAAATTCCACAGGGGGATTCGAAAGGAAATGAAGCCGGGAAGCTCCGTGCTTCTCGGCCCGCCGCCCTTCCTGTCTCGGGGACACGGTTTCTAAATAAGGTTGGGAGGGAGAGAGGGCGGGAGGGGAGAGGCTCGACCTGCTCTAGAGAAGAAAAGGGGTGTGTGGGGGAGGGAGATGGGCTAGAAGGCGCACAGCTACCGGGGCTCCCCTTTTCCTGGGTCCCAGGCATCCTTGCTTGGAGCCTGTATCTCTAACTTATTCTGCTTCTGCGTAGGGTTCTGGGGATCTGGGGACCATGCGACCTGGTTTCAATCCAACTTAACCCCTCTCTCATTCTCAGCCCTTCCCCCACCTGCACCCCCCTCCCCAGAGCTGTGGGCTAGTTGCCCCTCTCAGGTTTCCAAGTGGGCCAGGGAAACCCTCAGCAGGTGGATTCCTAAACCATGTACTTGTTGCTTTACTGTGGTCAAGTTACTGTGAGTCTCAGCCTCTACCTGGCCATCCGTGAAGTGGGAAGCTCATGTCTACATCACACAGTTGTTCTAGGAGTTAAATGAGGTAATACCTGTAAGGCATTTAGCTCCGCATCTGGCGCAGTGTCCAGTAAGTGCTGAATACCTTAGTTACTGATGTGGGACAGCCTCCTGCTTCCCAGCACCTTGCCAAAGACATCTCCAGCAGCCCAGGTCTGAGGATCTGGGTGAAGAGCTTTCTTCTCTTTTTCTGAGACATGCCACTGTTTTCCTGGGGTTGTTGACAGGACCACGCTTTTGTGTGTGTGTCTGTGTGTGTCCTCCCACATCAGCTAAGTCGGGCATATGGCAGAGGCTGGATATAAGTTGGAAGGATGTCTGTGCCACTAGTGCTCATATTCTGTTTTGTATTTTTAGTTTTCTTTTCTCATATTGGCAACTATTTCCTTGGCTGAAGGAAAGAATGGAATCAACATTTTTGGTGTTTGGCTCTGTACGAGAACTGTGTTGTACACATAGAAGCTGCAACTGTCTCCAGCCACCATCATCATCATCATCATCTCCTGGGGAAGGAGACTCCGTTAGCCTCCGAAAGAGATGAAGAAACTGAGGCTAGAACCAAAGTGATAGAAAATGAAAGATCAGTCAAGCCAGGGCCGAAAAGAGGCCTTTCAGAGATGGGGAACAGGGTCATTTCTCCAGAAAATTTCCCAGCTGGAAATCGACGTACTCAGCAGTAGGGTTAAAGCTTCTGAATGCCTGTGCTGAGTAACGCATGAGACCATTGGCCTACATAGATGAATAAACAATTAGATGTATGCATCAAGTAAATAGATGATCCCCACCCTCTAGGACTCACAGGAGACAAAGCATAAACAGACAACTGTAACTCAATGCGATAAATGCACAGGGAGAATTTTAGGTAAATCCAAAGTAGAGGTAGCTACGTGTGGAGGGCTGCTCAAAGGGAAATAATCGCAGGCATTCTGAGCTACTCAACAAAGCAGCGTTAGTGAGCAATGGCACTTCTCCTAGGGCAGTGGTCGGCACACTCATTAGTCAGCAGAGCCAAATATCAACAGTACAACGATTGAAATTTCTTTTGAGAGCCAAATTTTTTAAACTTAAACTATATAGGTAGGTACATTGTGATTAACTTAATTAGGGTACTCCTAAGGCTTAGGAAGAGCCACACTCAAGGGGCCAAAGAGCCGCATGTGGCTCGCGCGCCGCAGTTTGCCGACCACGGTCCTAGGGTACTTGCAGGGAGGATAGGAGGGCTTGCTTTGCGCTAAAGATATGTGTACATGGTTTATTAAACAGTGACCTCCAAGAAGACAAGGAGCAGGTGCTGTCCCTTGCACAGGACCTGGCATATAAAAGGAACATCATTAAGTGCTGGATGAATGAACACTGTTAACCATCAATAACAAATAACTCATATAGAATTTATACCAGATTAAGGGCTAAGTGCTTTACATGCATATTATCTCTTTTATTTTGCACAACAGCTTGAGAAAACTCATGTTCTGGGTGGTTAAGCAATTTGCCCAAGGTTACACAGGAAGTGACAGAAAAGGGCTCCGGTGCATGTCCACCTGGCCCAGGTCTGTGTGCAGTGCATGGTGCTGCTCTCACCGAGGAAACTGCGGACACTCAGTCTTCTCTATAGTTAGAGGTGACCCTTTTATGTTCTGGGCCTCTTGTACCTGGCCCTGGCATCCCTGCCTCATCTTGCTTGAAGCAACTGTCTCCTTTCAGAACACTCGAAGAAGAAGGCCATCCCCTGTCAGAAGCTTTTCCTGTCAACAGCTTTTCTTTCCCTGCATGGAACTCATCGCAGGTATTTTCCAAAAAAGAAAGCCAGGGGAATCACATTTCAGTCTGAATGTGGAAAGAAAACAAAGACCACAACTTAGAGCTAAGTCTGAATGGCCTGGAGCCCCTCAGCCTCCCGCTCACAGAGTGGTTTACACAGCCGCCCGTCTGCTCCTGGTGACAGGCATGGCATGTTTGTCTTTGTTGCAGAAAACACTTCCAGGCAGAGGGCTATCCACCCTGTGACATGCAAAGCATTTAGGAGAGAAGCAGAAGATAGGGACACATGAATAGGACCTTCCATTAACCTAAAGGGCAGGCCATGGGCCCCTAGTGGCTCCGGCCTGAGTGCCTGGGCAGCTCCCTCTGTCCACTCTCAGTCGTAAAGACACATGCAGCACACTTTGGAGATGCAACAAACATGACTTTGGGGGGCTGGGGGGCAGTTGGAGGGCTCTCCATTTGCATCTAATGAGAGGCCGGGTTCTAATTAACTCCTGTGATGTGTTAATTTTTCAACCTGACATTTTCTGCTCTAATAGATTCTTGTAATGGTTCCTAAATTAAAGGCTGCATTTAAAGACTAGCGTTTAGGTTAAAATCCACCACCTAGGGGGGGTGGTGTGGGGGGTGTAAACATCCTTTCCTTCGTAAGGAAAACCTCTCATTTGCAGTTTTTTGCTAACCCAATTAAGTGCTGAAGTAGTCACTCCAGAGCCTGCTTTTCATTTTCTGCGAAACAATCCAACTAATCCATATTCAGTAGCTTCCAAGAAAAGTCTTATTCCAACCACTCACGAAGAAACCAGCTTCTTTGAATCTGGACAGAGCATTTAGAACTCACAAAGAGCTGTCTTGATGGAAAATGCGAGAAAGTGGTTCATTATCAACCTGTTTAGTTTTTGAGGGGGAAATTCGCTGGAACTAAAACCTCATGGGATTGGCAATTCACTGTGGAAAACAGAAGCATAGGGAGAAGTCATGCCACATCCCATTCGTTTATAGATAGTCAGGGTGCTACATCTTCTCTGGTACCCAAACTCGCTAACCCTAACCCTAACCGGAATCTTGCTTAAAGTGGAAGAATCAGAGGCCCCCAAGAGGTTAAGTAACAGCTCTAGAAGGGCAGAGCCAAACCTTCTTATCTATTGCACCACTAGCCAGCAGAGAAGAATCCAGTCACCACAGAGCTCTTGCATGTCAAGGAATCAGAGCCCTGTTCCTCCTACCAAGCATAAGACAGTACATAAGGCATTCTATCTGTTGGTGGTGATGGTTTAATATATAGGTGAGTAACCATGAACCTTTGCAGGAGGCAAAAAATAATGCAAACACATCCACAACTTCATTTCATTTCAATATTTATCAGTCAAGCCACTAGCCAATGTTTAGTGATGGGTTACTGTGGACATGTCACTGAGAGGTCTTCCCTGAACTCATGTTTCAGCCTCCCTTCGTCACTCACTCCTTAGCACTGCTTTATTTTCTTCACTAGAGGCCCAGTGCACAAATTCATGCACGGGTGGGGTCCCTCAGCCTGGCTGGCAATCGAGGCCTATTGGGGGGCCGGCCTGCCAGGGGGAGGAATCCCAGGAGGTTGGCTGTGGGAGCACACTGACCATGAGGGTGCAGATCCTGCATTGAGTGTCTTCCCCTGGTGGTCACTGTGCATCATTGTCCCAGTTGTTCCAGTCATTCTAGTCATTTGGTTGTAATGGCCATTAGGCTTTTATATACCCACACACACACATATATATATATATACACATGTATTTATGTATATATACACACATATATATGTATATATATATACACTATATATATACATACATATACATATATATATACACTATATATATATATATACACTATATATATATATATATATACATACATATACATATATATACACACACACACACACACAGATACTAGTGGCCCGGTGCATGAAATTCATGCATGGGGGCGTTCCCTCAGCCCAGCCTGCACCCTCTCCAATCGGGGACATCCCTCTCACAATCTGGGACCACTGGCTCCTAACCACTCACCTGCCTGCTGGCCTGATCATCCTGACTGCTCTCCCCTGCCAGCCTGATCCCCCTAACTGCTTTCCCCTGCCAGCCTGATCATCCTAACTGCTCTGCCCTGCCAGTCTGATTCCCCTAACTGCTCTCCCCTGCCAGCCTGATCGCCCCTAACAGCCTCTGCCTTGGCCCCACCACCATGGCTTTGTCCAAAAGGACGACCGGAAGGTCGTCTGAAAGTTGTTTGGTCTAATTAGCATATTACCCTTTTATTAGTATAGATAGATGGCACTCACTGATGTCTGTAACTGGCTTGGTGATTTACTTGCTTATTTAATTTTCTCTTTCTCTCACCTGAAAAGAATCTTCACAAGAATAGGGTCTTAGCCCTGACTGGTTTGGTTCAGTGGATAGAGCATCGGCCTGCGGACTTAAGGATCCCGGGTTCGATTCCAGTCAAGGGCATGTACCTTGGTTGCAGGCACATCCCCGGTAGGGGGTGTGCAGGAGGCAGCTGATCGATGCTTCTCTCTCATCGATGTTTCTAACTCTCTTTCCCTCTCCCTTCCTCTCTGTAAAAAATCAATAAAATATATATATATTTAAAAAAAAAAAACAAGAATAGGGTCTTAGTGATCTTCTTCACTAACATATACCTGGTGCCTAGGAGGTGCTCAATAAATATTTGTTAAATGAACAAACTTACATAGTACCTGCTGTTGTTCTCCCTGCAGTTGAGGACACAGAGTCTCAGAGAGATTAAGAAACTTGCCTCAGGTCCCACAGTAAATGGCAGAGTTGATATTTCAACACAGGTCCACCTGACTCCTCAGCTTATGCTTTTGACCAGTATGCATCCTAGTGTAGCTGGCTCCATTGCCTCCACAGTGTCCTGTTGGTGTGAAGTGCCTTATAGGATATTGGAGCTGGAATCTGTGCTAATCAGCTAGTTCCTTGCTTAGTCATTAAAGTTAATCAGTTAACAGCTATGTATTTACTGAGTCCGTATAGTATGCACTGCTAAGGTAACTAAATTGCTCCCCCAATTGGGACAGACATTAAGGATGACTCATTTATCACTTCCTGGGAATTTCCAAATGCCTGCATTTTTATGTGATCTTTCCTCAGTAGCCCTCAAATTTTCAGTTTCAAGAATTTGACTATTTGACTAAATTTTAAGCCTCCCTACCTTAGTTTTTTTCCATTATCTCTTTGGCCTTCAAGAATCCATACTAGGATTTCATTTCTATTCTAAAATGAGAAGAAAGGGCACATTTTAAGAAAAACAATTTTCAGATACATGCAAAGAAACAAGCAGCTGATAGCATCTGTTAGATTACCAGAGACTGGGAAAGAACCTTCCAGATCATTATTACAGAACCTCACTCAAAAGCCAAGACCCAGAGGGTGGAGATGACTTATCTAAGACAGGGTTAGAACTACATATCCTTTTCCTTGTCTCCAGGACTCTTTCCACCACATCATAATGTCTTCCTTCTACCTCCTTACCTGGGAAACGAGGATTGCTGTGGGAACCAGGTTATGCTAAATAGCAGCAGACCCGTTTATCATACCTGAGGTTTCAGATGCATATACAGGGAGTTAGGTCATAGATTGTTCTGTCTAACCAGCCCTTTCTCTTACTCAATAACACCGCCACACATTACCACTCTCATGCTAAGAATGACTAGACCTGCCCCACCTGCCAATCCCTCCTCTACCTCGGCCATTCCATTTCTCCTTCCTCCGTGCCCAAACATTGTATTTCAGAAAAGCTGTGTCAGATGACTTTCTAATGTTTGCTTCTGTGACTGCCGTAGCCTCCCTTGAGGAATAAGCCAAAACATCCCTACAAATGAATTCTGAATTATAGCATCCCCATGAGGCTGGATCGGTGGGAGTTATATGGCTCAGGGGATGTTAGAACTGAAAAATAGTCTTAGAGACCAAGGAGTCTACCTCATCACCTCATTTGCAGATAAATGTGGGTATTGAGAGAAAAGGAAATGTTGACTGTACACTTTGATAATGCTAGCTAGACACGAAGCAAGACTAGAAACCAGGCCTTCTGGCTTCGAAGATCAGTACTTATTATATGATGCTGCAGCCTTGGCAGAAGGGACACAGTGAGCCCCAGGGAAAGGGTGTTAACTGACTACAATGTCTTTTCAGCAAAAAAATCAGGGAATTCTGTTTCCTTCTTAGAATTAAGCCCCACCATAGTAACTCTCTACAGGAAAAACAAAAGCAATACAATTTTTTAAAAAATCATCCTAGGGCCTTAACCGGTTTGGCTCAGTGGATAGAGCAGGGGTGGGCAAACTTTTTGACTCAAGGGCCACAATGGGTTCTTAAACTGGACCGGAGGGCCGGAACAAAAGCATGGATGGAGTGTTTGTGTGAACTAATATAAATTCAAAGTAAACATCATTACATAAAAGGGTACAGTCTTTTTTTTTTTTAGTTTTATTCATTTCAAACGGGCCGGATCCGGCCCGCGGGCCGTAGTTTGCCCACGGCTGGGATAGAGCGTCGGCCTGCGGACTGAAGGGTCCCAGGTTCGATTCCAGTCAAGGGCATGTACCTTGGTTGTGGGCACACCCCCAGTAGGGGGTGTGCAGGAGGCAGCTGATCGATGTTTCTCTCTATCCCTCTCCCTTCCTCTCTGTAAAAAAGTCAATAAAATATATTTTTAAAAAATCATCCTAGGGCTTTTGTGATAATTAAAGAGATACATATATGAAGGTCCTTACCACTTGGCATAGAAAATTCTATTAGTTTTTCTTCACCTGTTTGTTGTGGCATTGAGTTAAACTTGCCTATGTTGTGGTGCTTAAATCCAAGATTTCTCCACTTCTCATTCTACTGGTGTTTTTTTTTGTTTGTTTGTTTTCTTTTTGTGTGTGTGTGTGTGTGTGTGTGTGTGCCTCTTAGTACAGGTGAACTTCCTGGACATAAATTCATCTTATCTATTATAATAAAAAGGTAATATGCTAATTAGACTGACGTCTTCTGGACGTCATTTCAGACATCCTTCCTGATGAAGCCAGGGCTGGAGGGAAGCCAGTCTGGGTCCCGGGTCCTGGGTCCCGGGTGCCTGCGGGTAGCCAGAGGGAAGCCAGCCTGGGTCCCAGATGCCTGGCGGTGGCTGGAAGAGGGAAACCTGGGTCCCAGGTGCTGGAGGGAAGCCAGTGCCGACAGCCAGGGGAAGGCCTACTCTTGCACAAATTTTCATGCGTCGAGCCTCTAGTCCTATACAGACAGTCCTTGGGTTACGTCGGACTCGACATACATCGTTTCGTGGTTATGTCGCCATCTCCCATTTATTTATATTAAAAAAAATGTTCCGTCATTTAGACATATGTACATATGTGCTTTATGTTTTTTATTATTTATTTATCACAAGTGAAGGTCAGGAATTGTTATCTTTCTTTTAAATTTTTTTTTACTGTTTCATTTTATTACTGCTGTATATGTGCTCCAGGTGCTTATGTAGGTGGGTTCTGACTTATGGTGAAAATCACGTTACGTCGCACCGTAGGAACGGATCTCCGACGTAACCCGAAGACCTACTGTATAATAAAAGGCTAATATGCAAGTAGACCAAACAGCAGAACTACCGGTTGCTATGATGCACACTGACCACCAGGGGGCAGATGCTCAACACAGGAGCTGCCCCCTGGTGGTCAGTGCACTCCCACAGGGGGAGCACTGCTCAGCCAGAAGCCAGGCTCACGGCTGGCTAGCACAGCGGTGGTGGCAGGAGCCTCTTCTGCCTCCGCAGCAAAGCTAAGGATGTCTGACGACTTAGGTGTGCTCCCCGAAGGCTCCCGGACTGCTAGAGGGTGCAGGCCGGCTGAGGGACCCCTCCCCATCCCCCACTCCCCAGTGCATGAATTTTGTGCACCAGGCCTCTAGTATCTATATGAATAGTGCCCTCTGGAGCTCTACAATATGTATCTCTTTATATTATGGCACTTTAGCAGCAAATAATAGCTAAAGTGCTTTACATATGCTATCTACGTTAATATGATACTATAAAAGGTAAGGACTATTCTTATGTCTATTTTTCAGTGACAGAAAAGATGATTTGGAGATCAGAGCAAGCAAATTAAGCCAGAGAGGTCTGATTAGAAATTCTAAGTTGACAGTTTACTAGCTATGTGATGCTGACCAACTCTATCTTTCTGAGCTTCGTTGTCTATATCTTTAACATGGGGATAATAGAAATAATGGCAGACACTGTTAGTTGTTTAGCAATAGCCTCCCTCTACCCTACTTGCCCAATCCCAACCTTTCTTTCTAACAATAATATGTCAATATCACATGCTTCAGAAGAAGATGAGCTCTTTCATAGTCTAGGGCATGGGGATAAATCTCTCCCTTTGACAGTGATTGGTTTAGTAATGGGCATATAACATAATTCTAGCTAAGAGATGAAGTAAAAATGGGGCATAAGTATGAAGGGCTCATCTTTTGGGACATTTTCCTTAAGATTTGCTTCTTCTTACTTCAGCTTTTGGATGTTATGACTGAAACTGTTACTGCCTTCTTGCTACCAAAAACTGTATAGGCCAAATTCTGAAGATGAATGTGGGGTTAATTTTCAAAAATATATATATATATATATATATATATATATATATATATATATAGAGAGAGAGAGAGAGAGAGAGAGAGAGAGAGAGAGACAGAGAGAGAAACATCAATGTTTGTTGTTCCACTTATTTATACACTCATTGGTTGACTTTTGTATATACCAGTATCCTGATAGGTGATCGAATCCACAACCTTGGCATATCAGGACAATGATGCTCCAACTGAGCTACCTTTTTGAGGTATCAACTTGACTGGGCCACAGGGTGCCCAGATATTTGGTCAAACATTATTCTGCGTATTTCTGGGAGGATGTTTTTGGATGAGTTTAGCATTTAAACCAATAGACCAAGTAAAGCATAATGCCCTCCCTTAGGCCTCATCCAATCAGTTAAAGGCCTAAGTAGAATAAAAAGGTTGATCATCTCCTAAAATGAGGAAATTCCTCCTGTCTACTGCCTTCAAGCTGAGACATTGTTTTTTGTTTGTTTGTTTGTTTTTGTTTTTTTTCCTGCCTTCATATTTGAACTGAGCTATTGGCTCTTTCTGGGTCTCGAGACTGTCAGCTTTTAGACTGGAGCTACACTGTCAGTTTGCTAACTCACCCTGCAGTCAGCCTCCATACCAATTCACCATAATATCTCTCTCTCTCACCACCCCCCCCTCACACACACAGACACACAGACACACAGACACACAGACACACACACACACACACACACACACACACACACACAATGAGAGAATGGAAAATGGGAACAATCTGGGTTTTTGCAGATATGATTAAGCTACTGAATTAATCAACCCAGCGATCCTTGTGTATAAATGAGACAATGCATTCTTCTTCTTATTTAAGCCACTTTTAATTGGGTTTCCTATTTCTTGAACCTGAAGGTATCATCACTGACCCAGCAATCAAGCAAGTAGGCTTATAAAAATTAACTGGTGGTCAGTAAATATTAGTTCTCTCTTAGCATCTACATTATGAGAGCAAGACTCTCTCTTTAATAATGATAATCCCTTAAATGGTTTAGTCATTTGTTTGTCACAGAGTGCTTCCATAGGCGTTCTTCTACTACACTGTGAATTTCTTGAAGATTGAGACCACATTTAATTAATTTCTAGCTCAACAGGTGTTGAATGTATCTTAGACCATATCTTTTA